ATTATCACCACATATTATGTAGTTGCAATGTTATTGCTAAAAAATGCAAGGTTTAATTTGAGATATATCTGGACATAATCGAATGGATAACTCTAAGAACAATATTTTAATTAATTACACTTCATTATGTTTAAGCTGTTATTGGCTGGTAGCTTTAATACCACCTTGATATGAATTCAATTATTTCACTATAAAACTAAGGGATCAAAATTGTGAGCCACATTCTAAGATTAGTAAATTCTCAAGCCAAAATGGTGTACTTTTTGGCAGCCATATTGGACTTTGCTGAATTTACAGTGTTGAATTGGATTGTTTGACTCCATTCAAATATATAAATAAATATAAAAAGTAACACTATATATCAAATATGAAGTAATTATGGCTAAAAACATGATTTGGTGGCCATGTTGACAGCCATCTTGGATATACTATCATGTGTTCACTCAATATCCTAATCACTTGTTTTAATCGATTCCTTAGCCCCTAACACATATGAATTAACAACAAAATTATCAACCCAGGTTGAATATGAGGGAATTCATAGCTGATGATATATAATGGCGGCTAATATGAAGCTTGAATTTCCCAAACTGCTCAATGCTTATGTAGTAGAGCAGCTTCTTCCCTCAAACCACCCTTTGTGGAACCGACGCATAAACTATGCCTCTTACTCTTTAACCTTCTATATAGAGTGGATCCCGGACCTTATACAAGGTTAGCATTATTGTAAAAGAAATAAAGTTCATCCGATAGATTCTGACAGAAGACATTTTCATCTCTACAAACCAATCAAAAAATAAACTATATACAGACTTTCCTGGTTCAACCAAAGTTCTGCTACGCTGTTATAGTCAAAGACTTTATAATTCGTATACTATATAAGACATAACAGTTACATTTTACTTCTTCTTTTTCTTCTATTGTGCCGTTTCCCTTCGGAACGTGGACATTCATGACCCTCTAAAACATTCTATACTTTGTATTTCTTAGCAATGTTTTTCGTTTTCCTATCTCTGTTCTGCCGACCCTTTACACAAGCTCGTCATACTGCTTCCTCTTGATTTTAATATCTTCTTTGAGTGTCAAATTTTCTTAGCAAACTTTCCTCATTATATTCCCTAGTCAACTGTCTTTTTCTGATTCTAAGTATTTGTGATTTGTGTTTCCATTTTCCCTAATACTTCATCGTTGCTCATATGCTCAGTCCATGGTATTCTCAGTATCCTCTTGTAAAAATATATTTCTGTTGTCTCGAGTCTCTTCATCTGTGAAGAGATTGTCCAGCATTCACTGTCATATAGGAAAACCGATATGACATAAAAGTTCAGTACTCCTTGCTTTATTTCTAACAAAATTTTCCTGTTTATTAATGCGTAACTTAGCTTTTCGAAGGCATATTTCACTATCCCAATGCGCTTTCGGATTTCGGTGTCGCATCTTACATGTTATGTTAAAACATTTGCCAGATATTTAAATTTTTGTAATTGCTTGGTTTTGGTTTCTCCAATTCGTAGTTTGTAGGACTTTTCCTTTTACTGACAAACATTCTGTCTTCTTACAGTTGATATTTAGTTCTTTCTTCTCACTTTCCTTTACTATCTTCTGTAAGAGTTACTGTAATTTCCTATCAGTGTTTGCTATCAACACTCTGTCATCTGCATATTTTATGTTGTCAAGATTGTGGCCGCTAATAATGAATCCGGGTAGGACATCTAATTCGCTCAGTATCGCCTCACTGTAAAGGTTGAATAAGCAGTGAAAAGACACTACCTTGTTTACGTCACTTCCTATAGTTCCGGACTCTTCTACAAGCCTTTCTAAATAAATCAATTCTACCTAGAAGTTCAGAGACTTCTTTGTGATGTATTTTATCAAACGTGTTTGCATAATCTATAAAACATAGCTATACATCCTTTTGCATTTGTATTACTCTTTCAGATATCATCCTTTGTATATATATTACATTACTTGTTCTAGTGTCTTTAATGAATTGAAACTGTTCGTGTCCTACTTCCGGTCTAATAATCTCCTACGCATCCTATTCATAAGAATTCAGATCATAGATTTTGTTATGCGGCTCATTATTTGATGCTGCTTTTTCTTTTTTTTTCTCACTATTACAAAATGACTTTGAGTTTTAAAAAATTGTTTGAAAATTACATTAAGTTGAAATATATATATATATATATATATATATATATATATATATATATATATAATTATGAGATTAAAACAAAAACATGTTAAAAATCGCTACACAATAGCTTTCATGTTTCAGTACGCAAATTGTATTTCCTCGGGCGATGGTAAATGACTGTTAACTCAAATAATATTAAGCTCTACTATTTTTTTAAAATGAAATGCCACAGCCAGTGAAATTATACTCCATTTGTTCTTTTGATTTTATCTTATACCAGGATATATATATATATATATATATATATATATATATATGTATGTATATATATATATAACGTAACCGAAAAAGTCCCGTTTCTTACGTCGTGTGGGAAGAGGCGATCACTGACACCAGGTGCCAGGAAATCAGTGGAGATTGGGTGAGGACATTGCCCTCGACTAATGCAGGTGAGTCGCTCGCACACATTAGTCATAGCTCGAGCAGCGGCGAGGAAAACATGGCGGTGTTGAAGGAGCTCGTTCGTGGTTGTCGGCTTTATGACTTTAATATGAATTTGTCCGTAGCCGCATCAAGTCGCCGAAAGGCCTTTGGAGATAATGCTGTGATTGGACGCACCGCCAGGCATTGCTTCCAAATGTTCACGTTAATAGATGTCCCTTTGTGATGAAGTCGACAGTGGCCGGCCACTGGTACTGGATGATGAGGCCCTGAAGGCGACCATAGAGGAAGACAACATACAAGCCAATAATGAACTTGCAGATGAAACAGACTTCACCTGCACGCATAGGGAAGGCGTACAAGTTGAAAAAGGTGGTACCCCACACACTGTCACAAGCCACCAAGCAACAACGAGTTACACCATATTTGTCGTTGTTTTCTCGGCACACCAACGTACCGATATTTTATCGAGTGCTCACCAGTGACGGAAGGTGGTTTCTGTATGACACTCCCTAGTGTATCAGATATTAGTTGTCACCACAGGACTATGCCTCACACCACAAGACCACCTCTACACCCATGAAGAATCATACTTTGTATCTGGTGGACTAGTCAAAAAGCTGTTACTAACGGGGCAAACCATCACTGCGGACTTATACTCGCAGCAGTAGGATCGTGTGCAACAGGCACTGAAGCAGAAGGGGCCAGCATTGGTTAATCGTAAGGGCGCACTCGTCTTCCATGACAATATCAGACCTCATGTGACACGGATGGCCAGGAATACCATATGGCAACTTGGCTGGGAGACACTGTGCTATCCGTCTTATTCCCCTGACCCTGCGCTAACAGATTACCATCTTTACTATTCCATGGACAACCACCTTCGTGAGAAATCTTTCGCAAATGTCCTTCTTTGCATCCAAGACACCTGATTTTTACTGCCACTGCATTGTGCAACTGGAGGCACGTTGACAAAAGGTTCTGGATGAAGATCGGGATTACTTTGAGAACTAACGTATGTCATTTGCTGTACACCTTTTTTCTAATAAATAAAAAAGAACGTTTTGGTTAGCTTGTTAATATATATATATATATATATATATATATATATATATATATATATATACTGTCTGATGCTCGGCGACTAAACCATCTCTCCCATTTCAATTTCTTGTGAGTGAGGCAGATGGTTTCATGAAGAAAAAACTACCAAATGGAAGAAGAACATTTGGTGAGTCAACAGCCGGCGGTGTCTCAATAAAACTACAGTGGAGAAGGCAACAGGAAACCACTGCACAATTCTTCTCAACAATATTACATTGTGTTGAAGGAGCATAAAATGAAACAAGTAATATGCTATTTAATTTTGAAATAATTGAGATTTTCTCCAAGATAATATCTTAACTCTAATGAATTAAATTTAATTTGCGAAAGTATTATTAAAATGCAAATATTAGTCTATCTTTACGTGTATTAGAGCCCGAAGACTTTAATAACAACATCACTGCTTTCTTGACAATTGTTTTTTTTAACTTTTAAGGAAAAAATGAAATTTCAGATGAACTTATTTAAGTAATGCGATTAGGGAACAACTCATTACTTGTAACACGTTCAAATGATTTTTTGATATGGATTTGACTTTTTCTATTTTTATATCACTAACAAGTTATAATCAACTCGCATATGTAAACAATAGTGTCGACGTTACGTTAATATTTCACATGGAAAATATTGATATCTGTACCTATAGAAATAATACCTCGAATCCAAAAGTAAAAACTACGTTACGCACAAATCCAAGTGCATACATACAAATATTTCCTTTGCGCACACATACGCCCAAACGTACACGCACATAGTAAGATGCTTTTTTTCATATCCATACAAGATATCCATGTGTTCTGATGATCTACACGCCTACAGAAAGAGAAAGGGGCATAACAAGAAGAATGATTGGTTGACAAACAGGAAAAGAGAGATAAGATTAGCAATGCCGACATGTTTGTTTCTATCTGCGCCTTTTCATTCAGACATGCCTTTGGATTGTTTCGACACTAAATGTCAGACTACGAAAATAAAATTCCGCAAGCATTCTGCGAATCTTCCATTTTATTTCTCTTCTGTCCAAGTTTGTTTTATGTTTTAAATCTGCTACGAGTTGTTTTCTTACTTTCCTGGTTATAACGTTTTTCGATACTTAAATAACGCTTAAACTGAAACTTATAATCTGTGTTCTTCAAAGCTAGCTACCACAGTCGCCTCGTTCTTTCCATGAAGCATTTATTTTATTTATATATCTACTCCATTGACTTTCGGATTCTAAAAGGTTTTCTGCTCATCTGAAAATGGTTATTTGAGAAATTCTATTGTTTCAAACATAGTACGTAGAGATACACGTATAACTTTACCAACAAAAATTGGCTTACGGCCACATCACGTTGAAACACCGGTACTAGTATGATCACCGAAGTTAAGCAACGTCGAGCCTGGTCAGTAACTCGGGAGTGACTGCTTGGGAATACCCGGTGATGAGTGGGTGGTGTAATGGTGTAATGGATTATCACTTGGGATTGTTAATCAGGCAGCCGACTTCCAATCCCATTCGTGTTCTTTATATTCACTTACGCGCAAATACTCTTGGGGAAGGTATGAATCCACCTCTTCTCCCCCAGGTATGAGTTAATTAGTAAGGTTTGTATCACTAAACCATATTATCTCCAAAAATAAAATAAAATTGTTTACAAAGAATATTTAGATTTAGGCACTAAATAACCCTTAGAAGTTGATATGCTGCTAAACAAGAACAACCAACCAATAGAAATTCATACTCAGGGCAAGTTTTATCCAGTTGATTATTGGTGTAAATAATAGCAATAACTCATAACTTCAAAATTAGATCACAGCGTTTTCTTTTCCTTTTGGGGTGGTTAATTTTAAAACTTACTTTGTCAAATTGACTTCAACACATAAATCTATGAAGGAACAAACCAGTGGTTTTGTATATTTCAGTTAAAAGTACAATTTAGTAATTCATTTTTTGATTTCTTTAAAAGATAGAAAACTAGAGATAAACTTAAGAGGAGGGAGATGCTGTTAAAATGGTTATTCATTAAAATGAGAAATGAAGTGCGATATGTGTGAAAAGTGGAGGTGAAGATTATGAGAATAAAGAAGATAGATAATGATTCAATCTTTACTTGAATATTGAAGAGTTTAGGGAAGTATCCAGGCCGGAATCTATTCCAGAGAGAGTAGCAGTTCTTGAGAAAAACAATGTATAAGTGGAAATTCTCTATGCATTACGGAGGAAATGAAAATGATTCAACTCTGTGGAATTGGTATGGCGTGTCCTAGTACTAAAGGTCCTAACTGGTGGAACAAAAGAATGGAATTGAGTTGAACATTTGCCGTGGATATAGCGATAGAGTAGCGACAGACTAGCAACACTGCATCTGTGGAAAAAGAGGCTGCAGAATGAAAAATAATTATTTTCCCAATGACCGCATAAACGATTTTGAAATCTGTCAAGGCTCAAAATTCAGGAGTGAATAGCTCCAGACCTGATATGACTTCAATACTTCGTTTTTTTTTTTTATTCTGACTCTTTATCCTAATAAGCTTTGCTTCCTACCACCTCCCCTTTCACACAGATCATACATCATTCATCATTGTAATGAATAACCATTTTAACAGTATCTCTCTACCTTAAGTTTAAAAGAAATTTAAAGAATTCATAAGTAAATTTTATTTTTAGGGCTTTCAAAGAGAGAGGTAGGAAAATACTGTTGAGCGCCATGATCGTCCACACCCTGAAGGGACACGGAAAATATAAGAAGTGAGCTTAAGTCTAAAAGATGCCTCACTATGCTATACTAAGCGATGCTTTGTAAAATAAATATCTATATTTTCTATATTTCAAATTTTGTTTTACTAGCCTTATAAGGAAAAAGTCAAAATCAGGAGTTAATCTCGTTGATAAACACCAAAAACAGAACTTTAAGGTAATGCCGTTCATTTTCTCTCTTTAAATGTTCATTCTAGATGTAGGCGAATATAGCTCTCTACAACTTCCTATTTTGAATTCTGTTAATCTGTAAACTGTGCATTGCCATGTTGTTTCCAGTTGCTTTCTTCGCAGTTTTGAATTTAGAGCTCTTCTTCTAGACTGGTTACCAACCAAGGCTAGAGTTGTCAGTTTCCATTTTGTTAATTGTTATTCCACTCACAACTCCTGCTAAGTATTAGATTTATGGATTTGTTTTTTACGGCCTATCAAACCTTTGAGAGACATTTAAAATCTAAATATATTTTGCACTGTGAGAATAAATCTTTTTTGCTTCATTAACAAATTTTTGAGAATAACAAGGATTTTTTCAGATAAAATTTTTACTATTTAAACAATAGCTGTCGCAGAGGAGATGGATTTATACCTTTCCCAAGGGCATTTGCGAGATAGCGATCACGATCGGAATTCGAACTCGGCTCTACGACTTCTCATTCCGAGACGCTATCCACTGCACCACAGAACGAAATATTCTCTGTTATAAATTGGTTTCTTTTTTGTTATAAATTCGATTCTTTTTTCTATCTTGTAAATTTGCTTCTTTTTTCTGTCATAAATTCGCTTCTTATTTTTCTAGGTTATAAATTCGCTTCTTTTTTCTATGTTATAAATTCGTTTTTTTTTTTAATAAAACATTCTCGTCGCATATTTTACTCCTGATGAACGCTTTGTGAGGAGATTGGGGTTGTTTTACTTCTAGGTGAGTCTCCGTGAACAAACGTTGTCAGAGGGAAGGAAATATTTACAGGATTTCGCCGTTATTCTAATCTCTGGCAAGTAAATGGAAAATGCTAATTAATCAATTATTTCTTAACAATGTCGTTATAATTACACTGATCTATGATTGGGAAATTAAAGTAATATTTCTCTTCTCATAGGGAAAAAACTGAACCACAAAGTCAGCCATTAACCTGAATCATTGATTTATTGCGGCAAAGTTTATGCAGATTCCATGAAGCTACTGATAAAAAAGAAATCGCTCAAGTCACTGACAATCAATAAAACACAAGTGAACAAATAACTTGAGAAGCAGGTATTATTATTACTTATAGTAGTGGAGTTGGCGATGGTAATCTTGGAGATGGCGGTGGTCGTTCGAGAGAATCGTGGTATCTTTCCAGCAGCTCGTCGGCTCCGTCTTCATTAACAAAAGGCCAGCCGGTTCGAGGCAGAAACATATCTGACAAAGACTAGTTTTGTTACGAATCGCTGCTTGCAATGATGTACTTTTAGCTTCCTGTCCTACCTCCATATCACCATTCGTCAATGCATTTATCTTGCTCTACGTCCCTTCATCTTCCCTTTTCCTTCACATAATTCTTCTTTTACTTTATAATGTTCTTACTTTTTTTTTCTTTTTTTTTTCTTTTTTTTTTCGTAGCCCTTCTTTAATTTCTCGGTTCTCTGACCTCTTCTTTTCCTCGCAGCAGCAGCAGCAGCAGGTATACACTATCATCATCATCATCATCATCATCATCATCATCATCATCATGCTTTTGATATCATTCATTGTTTTTAAAAATTATTTTGTTTATGTTTTGGGGATTTTGATAACCCACATATCTAAAGCTGAATGTGTATCCAGATAAACTCACATGCGCATACATTCATACATACATAATAGCTGGCCACTCATAATCATAGCATACCCGTCTATTATGGCGACTAGCTATTGCAGACGCTCGCTCAGGCACATTTGTGTTTGTTCAGCACCCACAGAGCCAATCTGTGGTTTATACTGCAACTATGCTGAGCAGACCCTAGTCACAGTTTCTAGGGGGGGGGGAGTGTTATCTTGTGACTTAGTGCTAGCTATCGACGGCCACTAAGGGTTCCGTCACTCACAAGGCTTGGGTTTTCAGGCACTTTCTAAATATGTCACACGCTGGGATCTTCAGCCGTGGTGAGATTCGAACCAGGGTCTGAAAGCGAACGTTCTAACCACTCGGCCACGACTGTGATTAAGCTTTTTATTTAATTTTTCTTGTGTTCGTATAAATGTTTTTTTTGGGGGGGGGATATAAAGTGTGTAAAAATTGTCCAAATGTTAAAAAAAATTCATAAATTCAGTTAAAAATAAAATTAAAAATCATCCTTGATAATGGCTAAAAAAATGCGCAATTTTGACACACTTTGTATCCAGCAAAGAAAGCACTTATACGAAAACAAAAAAAAATAAATAAATAAAAGTTTAATCAATCGTCTTTAATGAAATATTTATAAAAGAAGGATTGTAAATTAAAATTAATTATTAATTGAATTATAAAATATCTAATATATATAAGAATTTTATAATATATTATATAATATATTATTTTACTCTACTTTATCGTATTTTATTTTATATTTTATTTTCATTTATACGTATTATTTTTTATTAGTATTTTGCATTAATTTTGTTTTACCACGCATATTTTATTATTATTATTGATATCACCAATTTTAGTTAGTTTAGTAATATTAATATTAATAATATTATAAATTACTTTGTAGACTTTCATGGAAAAAATAGAGTTACCTCCCCTTGATTTTCTAACGTCTCTTCTTGTTTATTACTTTTATAACATCAGCGTCTCTCTAAATTAGAATTTATAATTCTTATTTTCAACCTTAATTTCAATTTTAAATGTTAATCTGGACCTAAATTCAAATTCAAAATTAAACTACAATTCATCTAAATATTTTAACAATAATATTCCATCGCAACAATAAAGTATCTCTAGATAACTAGAAATTTCATTAAACCAGTCTTACCCCAAAACAAAAATACCAGCACTTTATAATTGCTTCGGCATGAAACTCAGAGTTGTGAAATCAATGTAAGGTATTATATATATTTCTTTATATATATATATATATATATATATATATATATATATATATATATATATATTTGCTCTGATTTGACATCGAGCTCTCTGGATTACACCTTCCTTGGAAACATACAAACAAGTTAGATTAGATTCAGTGGGCGTCTTTCTGTTTAATTTTATTGTAATTTTCCAATTTTTGAAGATGTTGTATATTGGGATCGAACTTGTGGATAAACTGTCCGGAGTTCATCTTTATTCTGTTGTTTGCTTCAAGAACTTTAGACCGTCTAACTCATATTCAAGAATTCATGCATTTGTTGGAGGCAAGATTTCATTGGCTAAATCCTGGTATTGATTAAATGTTTTAAATAGTCCCCAGTAATATCATGTGTAACGGTTAAGGTGAGCAAGAACGCAGCAAAAAAAAAAAATGCGTATTTTTAATAGGATTATTAAATATTTCATACCCACTTCAAGATGCCGCCCTCCTGTGGTGAAAGATATTCTATTTAATGTGGGTTATTTCTTTTGTGTGATAATTGCTTTTGAGCCTTTCTTTGCGTTGGGGGGCTGTATGTTATTTTGGAATTATCTATTAATATTTGTCTTATGTTGATAGTTGGATTGTGGTTTTTCGTGATATCCTGTCTGATAT